GCTCAGCGCGGGCCGCGCCGCCGGCGCGGGCCGCCGCGGCAGCCTCTCTGGGGAGAAGCGGCTGGCAGCAGACGGCCCAGACCCTGCCGGCGCCGCGTTGCCCGAGGAGGGTGCACTCGGCACTAAGGCACAAGCGTCGCCCTTGGAGATGACCCTGAGCGCGCCCGCCAACCTCAACTTCGGCGACCTCGACGCCGGCGCCGCCGGCGTCCGCGCGCCCGGCCCGCTGTCGCCGGCGCCGGCGCTGCGCGCGACGTCGTCGTGCCACCTCCCGTCCATCCCCGAGTGCGGCCCCGCGGCGGCGGCGGCGCTGCTCGCGGCGCAGCAGCAGCAGATGCTACAGATGCAGCAGCTCGTGGCGGCTCAGCAGCAGCAGCAGCAGCAGCAGCAGCAGCAGCAGCAGCAGGCCGCGCCGTCGAACCGCCCCGCCAAGATGCGCGCGTGCAGCGTCGAGCCGCAGCACGCCGCGGCGGCGGCGAGCCCAGCCGGCGCAAGCGCATCCCCCCCGTCGCCAGCGCTGCCCAGAGGCGGTGACGCGGCGTCGCCGGCGCCCCTGCTGCTCCTGCCGCAGGGGCAGCCGCTGACGCAGGCGCAGGCGGCCGCGTGGCCGCTGTGGCACAGCGGCGAGAGCTGTTTCACCGACGGCCCCGCCTTTGTGGGTTCGTTGAGCGGCACATCCCTCGCCGCTGCCGCCGCCCCCGCCGCGGCGCCGCCGCAGCAGCAGCAACCGCAAGGCGGCGCGCCGCAGACGCTGGCCGGCGTGCAGTGGCAGCAGCAGCTTCCAGGCAGCTTCTCGTTTTTCTGAGCCGGGCCGCAGTCGCTGCATGGGCAGCGCGCTAACACATGCCCCCGTCGGGCAAACCCCTGGCCCTTCTCAAACCAGTCTGCAAACGCGTCTACACCGCAACAGAAACCGCCCCTCACACTCCCCACGACAGGCAGCGCCAGCAGGGCAGCCCTGCAGGCGCCTGGGTTCGTCATCACAGCAGCGGCGCGCACTGCAGTCGGCGCGGCCGCGCACGCAGCGCTGCTGGGGTCAGCCCCAGGCGCTGCCGCACGTTCAGCCGGGTGCGATCGACTCGAAAAGTGTTTTTTTCTCTCTCTGGGTTTTCGCGGGAAGGGGCAGACGGGCCGAAATCAAACCCCCATGTCAAAGCCTGCACAGGCGCGCCCCCGCGGCGCCGGCGCGCGTGCCCGTATGCGCGCCGGTGCCGCGACCCGTGGACACGCCGAGCGCGCTGCCGCCGCGCGCGGCCCGCGCGCTCCGACGCGGCGCCCTTCAATCTGGAAACGCCCTTTGTTTGCACGCGTGCCGGCCACAGGAGCACGCTTTTTACAAACGCACGCCATCTGGCGCATTGCACCACGTACGCCGCACCATTGCACGCCCTCATCGCACCCGCATTGTTGCCGCCCGCCCGGCCCCGCCTCGCCCCTCGGGGCGGCGGCCGCCCCGGCGGCAGAGCACTTATCAATCCCATCTGGTCCGTTGGATTTGCTCTGTTCCGCCGCCATCCCCATTTCTCGGCCCGCACCGGCGG